ATTTTTACACAAATATATATATGTTTGTGGTTCTAAATACATCATTTGTTGTTTAAAATTTCATATACCTGCTGTTTTATGGACATCTGGATTTGCCCAACATTTTACAATACTTGACACACCTTTCTCCAGTGAGATCTGTTAAAATGTGGATGTACTCTGTCTTAGAATTACATCTCGAGCAGCAATGGCCAGTGTGCACTGCCATTATGTCACAGAGACACACAGCAGAGGAATATAATAAACAAATTCATGCCACTAAAATTATTCTAATAAGGGACCATACCCTAGGATACCCAAATGCCAAGCAGGCTTTGTCATATGAAGAAGAGTGGGCTGGATGAATGACAGACCAACTGGCCAATGAGAGAAGACTGTGGGATGCCCATCTGGGCCCTTTACTAAGAGGCTAGGGAGGGTTCGTCTTGAAAGGCACCCAGTGCTACATCTGTAGATGCTTACAGTGGGAGTTTAATTAAGTCAAATGCTCTGCAGCCAAAAGCAGGAGCTGTTCAAAGACCCACTGCACAGTTTTCACCATTCCAGTATTAAACAAGTGCCCAGTCCTGATGTTACAGGACCAACATACTGCAGTATACATGGAATACACTGTAAGGAGGAACTCAACGATACCTGAAACACCTGCTGGCATTACAAGCTATACAAATAATTAGTTCAGTTAATGACTGACTGTGAGCAAAAATCAAAAATCCCACTGTCCTTGAAGACCAGGACTGAGCATTGTAATATATTACATTCTTTCATCACTAAAAATTAGATTTTTTTTTTAAATTTACAACACAAATTACAACTGTAGTAAATGAGCCCCATTGCATAACGCAATATTTTTAATTTTGTTATATATCTTGCCAATTCGTCTGTGGTATAAGCATTATACCCACTGATACCACATGCCTCATGAATATGAGTCATTGTGACATATGAACTATTTGATAATAGGGGAAATAGAAGAAATAATCCAGACCACCAGATGCCAGTGCCATCTCTTACAATTAATCCATGGGTCAGAGCAACAGATCACATTCAGGAAGTTCTTTCCGTGTCATTGGTGAGATGCAGACTCATGTCTGCACTCTATAAATTTAATACCCCAGACACAGAAAAAACAACAAATGTGCTTGGGCTCCTTTAGTCCTTCTGATAGCTAGCATAGTGGCACTGCTACTACTCAGTCTTCTTTGTTGACTAGGTTATTCTTTCAGGTGCTTGCTGGTTCCAGTTCTTTCATGCTATTTCATTGCTACGTCATTCTACCCCTGAATGCAGAGGCAAATGTCTGCTTGTGAATAGAGTGACTGGTTTCCTCAGAAAACATTCATGAAATATCAGCCATTCCTTTTTGTTCCTGACTACAGCTACCATCTGCATCCTTTATATTGCACTAATTATGAGCACTAAACACTGGTTTCTCTACTATAGCTGCAGGTAATACGATACTCTCTGCGATCTCTCTGAGACCTGTTGTTCTGTAAATGGCATATATCTCAGATAGGGCCAGATCTTCTGTTACAATAGTCAAGGCCTGTGAAGATGCAGTGACATCCATCCCAGGTTGACAGACACTGTTCATCTTTCAAATGCCACACATGTGCCATTCATCAGCCTCACATCAGTCATTTAATCACAGTTTGTACAAATTCTGCGCTGTGCAGCTGGTTGTGCTGTCCTTCGAGGCAATGGTGCGGAACGCCCCCTGCTCAAGAGCAGGGTCAATGCTATGAAATTGTGTGCCATGACATTTTGCATTAATTACACATTGGTAAGCCTTATTGTGGCGTAAATAACAGTATAAGAAGCCTCTACACATATCCAACAATAGAATACATATCCTTATAAATCTTAAGATACAGTTACCGAACACTTCTGTAATGTCTTATGCAATATATCCGAGTTTCTTTGAATTCCACACTCTATCTAATCTAGCAAATCCTTGTACTAAAGTGATTTTTATTACCCAGCTTAGACCCTAAATATGCTAGCAAGGTTTTTCTAAAAATAACTTTACTGAATTTTAGATTAGCGATTCCCTATACTCTTTTTGCGACTGCACATGTACAGAGCATAAAAAAATCTGAAAACTGTATGAATAATATTGGTGAAGCCGATATTGCAACACTGCCCAGTGATGGATTGGCCACCAAAGCTGGGTTGTTCCCTGACTTGCACCCATAGCCTCTAGGATAGGCTCCAGACCCTTGCTACCCTGATTATTTTGTAGGAGTTACAGAGAATGGGTGGATGGATGGATGGATGGATATTCCAAAACAATATTAACATCCCATTTTTTTGATGTCATGGGCACACCCCAAACAGAATGCCAGGTCATTACAGGGCACATGCACACTATTTCAGGGAGACCAAAAAGCCTAACTGCATATCATTGGGGCACAGAAGGAAACGAATAATTGAAGGAAACCTGAGGGACGCTGGAAGAATTGCAGCTGCACAACCAACTGAGCTACTCCGCAACACACAGCCGTAATAGGTTTGAACGTCATACCCCTGACTCCTGCACTAATGTGTCTAATAGTATAAAGCTTTAACCAACTCTCTCATTCCCGAGTACATTCCAAAAATTAAATTATCGTTATACTGCATCAAAATATTGGTATTCATAAAAAAATTGAATTTTAAATGTTTTTTTTTCTTTTCTTTTTTTTTATCTTGACCACAAAAACATCTGCAGAAGCTAGCTTTTCCATTGCTTAATTTTTCCAGCATCCCCAGAAGCTCATATAGTCATTTTTCCTCATCCCCAAATGGAGTCCAAAAACGGTCACAAGATCAAAAAAAAAAGACTTCACAAATTGTACAAACTGGCAACACAGGCTTTCGCTCATTAGCACAAGGCAATTTCCCAGCAGCCCAAGGAAGATTCTGTCATGTGGCCCAGTATGGAGCCCAGGCTGAACATGTACCTATAATGTACTGTCTGACAGTGGCACACTGAGGAGAGCGTCTGGGGAAATCTGTATCTCACTAGGAAATTATTTCATAGAAGAATGCAGCACAGACTATAACCTTCCCCATTCTCAAGGAGGGGAATTTCGCCGCATGCTTTTATGAGGTTGTGGAAACTAAAATGATGCTTTTATGTGCTTTTGTTTGTTATTTGGCTTGCATTTCACTGTTTTATTTTTGGAGGATTCAAATTCCCATCGCAAGCAGCTTGGATTGGATCACTCCAGTTATTGTGGCAGCATTATAAGACCTTAACCAGAATTAGATCACTGAGTAGACAACTGACTTTGGTTGTGCACAGACCCAGTTGTACTGGAGTTTGTGGATCTATGATTCTTTATTACCCAGGAGTCCCCTAATACCACAACGGAGTGGCTTACCGGTTCAAAATAGTGCAAAGAAATTACCTTACACCGCAAATGGATCTTACGGTTTCTGAGTGTTTAAGGAGAACGGCAGAGTAGGGGAAAATCAGTGGCAGAAAGAAACATGTCATTTAGTCAGATAACAGCTGAGAATCCTTAGGCAGGCATGGATAACATGGTGCAGCTTACTCTGCTGGTGTAGCAGCGATAGTAGTCAGCCGGGTTCAGCCTTGTACATAGATTAACCAATGAAACTTCATCTGAGTAGCAATATTACATTTGATAACTTTGTTAATTTATGTGATCCATAAAGAATTCTATGAAGGAAAATCACAATGCACAGTGTATGCCATTTGTACTGTACGTATAGGAATCTTGAAAAAATAGCTGGTCACTAAAAATATCAGCTAACAAAAATAACTTTTCACAAATGTAATGGATTATTGACTGATATTTCCTAATTAGCAGGGTGCAAACTGCCACTTTATATTTTTAAAAAGCCAGCACTGACAGATGGAGGGTTCAGGCATAGAAAAAGCAGACTAATCATGTTGTTCCTGTGAATCTGGGTGAGACTTGCTAAGACTGCACAATGGCTCTTTTGGACACTATGTATTGGGTAAAAGTGCTATTATGCATCAGCATCAGGATGGAAATCAACTGGTTATTCATCACATCTGATGAGTGGGCAAATGGGTCAGGACACTGAGAAATGCATGGGTTGGACTGTCGCTGATGATGCTTGCTTGCTCTATCTATCTATCTATCTATCTATCTATCTATCTATCTATCTATCTATCTATCTATCTATCTATCTATCTATGCACCCATCCGTCCATCCTATGTAGCTACAACTACCCTATAATTACTATGTTATTGTATTAATATATTGCGAACTATTCATTAATACATGCAGGAAACTTCACATTTTTTTATATAAATTAACACTTTAGGGTGTAAGGACATCGCACTGGCTGCTTGCACAAGAAACTCAAATCATTATAGAGTATTATTGTTGTTGTTATTGTTGTTGATGATGATGTAATTGGAAAAATATTCAGTTACTTGGGCATTGGCATCATCACCCAGAAACCACCAGTTATTAAAAAATGTGCACGTTCCACTTTTACAGGAATTTTTTACAGGAACACAGAAATTGCGTGCTGGTAATAAGAATCTGTCACATGTAATGGGGAATGGTGGGTGAGACCTATTGTCTGTAATGAAATTACATACATGCACATACAGACATGATTACAGATCATGATTAGAGATCTATTGACATAACCCTTGCACAGACCGGAAGTGTATTGATGGGTGGGGATCTACCTTGTGAAAAAGCAATGTGTTTGATTCATCTTAAGGTTTAAATGACTATGTGAGTTAAGCATATGATGTCATTCCACATAACAAGGGGATTAACTAAATAACATGGTAATTGCAGGATACCATAAATACACCCTGCTTAACATTACATAGATCATAACTATTTCATTATTTGTCCCAAGCTACTACCAAGCATTCACCATGACTAATTTTTATTTATGTGTACAGTATGTGTGTAGGGTAAAAGCATATATAACATATTAAGAGCAATAATTGCTTATCCATCCCTGAGCAACTTACATCTACTAGGTAAAAATTGAGTTTTACCTGATGATGACGTACATGACCAGACAGTTTCCAATGAGCCCCACCATGCAAACAATCATGTAGACCACAACAATAGTGATCTTCACGCTTGTTGGCAGAAAGGCGTCTGTCTCGTTATATACACTGAAGTTGGTCTGCAGGAGAGTCTCGTTGTACCATCGCATTTGCTTCGAATCTCTGAGACCAACTGGCGCATCTGAGATCTCCATCAGGAAGCGTATTTTACCTAAACGGTATAGGATAACAATAATACAGTCCAAATGAACCCATTTAAAGAAACTATATATATAATACAGCTTACATGCATGTACATGCATATTCAAAGATTTACACTTTCTACACAACCACTTTCTACAGAAAGGAGAATGCAGACGCATTAAGTACTGTATCTGCTGCGCTGTATTTTTCCACAACCACAGCTGGAAGTATTATTCGGATAATTATATTTAAAAGTACCCTGATATTTCATCTGTACACATGCAAGATATTTCAAACACACCACAGTCGCCTAAAAACACTGGAATAAACATTAAAGTACACTTAAGCAAAAGCAAGATTTGATATATGTATACATACCGTTATCCAAGTAGCACTGCACCTGTTTAAATGGCTCCAATGTGTGTCCTTTTATCCCTGAAATGCGCAGACGATTTACGTTTATTTAATTTTTTTGTCCGTCTTCTTGGTCCTACTGCTAAATTTCCCCTGTGGGCTCTGTTTGACACACTCAACTGGTATACTTTACAGCAGATCTGGAATCGGACGAAACATTTTTCTTTTTTCTCTCTTTACGAACGAGAGATTGTAGAGAGGGAGGAGGAGGTGTGGTTGAACGCCAGCGGAGTCCGCTTCTTTTCTATCAGTTCGCTGCTGTGATTAAACGGACCGCAACTTTCTGCTTCCTTCTTCGTTTGCTTCTGTTCCTTCCCCGATATCTGTTAGCTTGCCGTTCCGATTACGCACAAGCTGTGCAGTGTTTAAAGCAAAAGATTCATTTTCTCTCAGTGATGTATTTCAAAGCACCTCAGGCTTCAGCCGAAGGGAAGTACTCTCCCCTCCCAGCAATGTGTCCTTGGGTAACTATTTTTTTCCCTTAATTATGTCATCTTGTGCATGAGGAGACTAAAAGTCTAAATGCTTATATTTAAACCGCGCACAGAAACCTATTCCTTAAAAAAATAATTAGGCTTTAAACAGATGATATGTTTAGAATGATAACAAACAGACAGTGGCAAAGGTAGGCTATATATTTTTTTCAACTTTAAAGAATGGGCTATTCATGCATCACAACCTCTATTCTTCTAGTCTGACGAGTGTTATAATGTCTTTTTAATTGTATGTACTGCAGTACTTGAAGTAGCTGACACACCATAGAATATTCTAGCACTGCTATTGTTGACCATGAGGACATCAATGCGAAAGAAAGCAATATTCTTGGCTTCACTGTGGCATAGAACAGGAATGTCAAGCAAGCCTCGTAATTCGAGACAATAGGGGAACAAATAGGATATGGTATATTGTGTGGATATGTAGGTGTATAAGATACAGAGGTAAGGAGCGTACGCTGATTACAGCATGTTGCCACACTCACCACATGACAAAGCACCTCAGGGATGAGACCCGAGAGCAGTCTTACGATGGGTGATACCTCAGCACCACACTAGTCTGAATGGAACAGTGTGAGTTTTCTTCTGGTGGCTAAAGTGTCAATTCTGCCACCAACTCCCAAATTTTACTGTAAGTTAGAGAACCTCCTTGCAGGGCTGGATGTCGGTTAACGTCACGCCCAGAACAAAGCAATTGCAGGTTAAAGGCCTTGCTCAAGGGGCCAATGGAGTAGGATCACCTTCACCAAACGTTAGAGTAAGTGCTGTCCTCCGTGCTAAAACTCCAGTTGAAGCTGTCTTTATCCCAACCACACTGTTCATAAGACTTAACAGAAATTTGGCAGCTTGTGGCTTTTTAATTACCTTTTCATCTTCCTCCTGTCTCATCCATCTAGAAAACAGTTAATACTTTTTCAATGCAAGTAAATAAAGTAATTTTCTTCCTAATAAATAGAATTCTGTGTTTTGTTATTTCTAGTAGAACTCCAGCCCCTTTTTGAATGTTTTTTCTATCGCTTATTTATAGGCTTATAATAAATAAATATAAATATTTATAAAAAGGCATAACACATTATAGTCATGTTTCTCATGCATTATGAATGCTCTATGAAGCTCTCATCTACCTCTGGTTATTCTATAGCACCAAGGAAAAAAATGATTGGAAAGTGGTTTAAACTAGTCAGTGATGTATGATAGGCCTGCACCCCTTGTGTTTGAGGCCCTCATTTCTCTCATCTCTTGTAGTCTAGTCAGGCTGTAACATATAGGCACTTCACACTGATCGGAGGGTCATATTCCATCCGCGGCACTGATCGGAGGGCCAAATTCCATCAGCGACATTGATTTGAGGGTTAAATTCCATCAGGATGAATACATCTGTAAAAAAAAAAAATGTATACAGGAAGCCTCTGAAGTTACTGTACACACATATTATACATCACAGGGTGCATTCATGCTACTGTATGTTTATGGATTGTGTGGGAATACGTGCAGAACATGGGAAGAACATACAAATACCACATACACAGTGGGGGAAGGATTCAAACCCCCTTCTCAGGAAGTGTGAAGTCAAATGCTACATGTCTGCTCTACTAGCAATACAGAGGTTTTCTGATCACGGCCTCTGTTTGTTTTGTCAAAGGTTGTAGTTCCTCCCCTGTCACTGTATTTGGCTAACCAAAATTAAACTGCATTTTTGGACATCTTATATACTGTATGTCAGACAACACTAACTAACAAGATGAATGTCTCAAGAGAGTAATTAAGTTAATTTGCATGTTTAATTGACAATGTTGACTTCATATGGTTTATTGGAGATAATATTTATACAGATGACAATCAGAACTGGAGTTCACACATTAATGATAATTTTTAATAAATTCTTGTTTAGTAAAAGTTTTGAAACAGTTTTTGCATTTATGTCATTTTCTATAGTACAGTGGTACCTTGGAACATGAACTTAATTAGTTCCAGAAGGCTGGTCGATTTGCGATTTGGTCCAGGTCCAAGTGGAATTTCTCCATAAGAAATAATATAAATGAATTTAATCCACACTGCCAAATGATTGCCTATTTATACTTATGTACCTACTTAACCAATGATAAAAAGCATTAGCAATCAATATAAAACTAATACACACATAAAAAAATTACACATACATAAGCACTAAACATGAAATAAACGACAATCCCATACTTCGAAGCGAGAGTAGACATACGGGCACCACCTTCAAGTCTTGCTATAATTTAATTTTTAAGTTCTACAGTTACTCTCACTACTTTCCTCTTTGCTTTGCTGCTATTTCTGCTCACTTTCTTAGGGGGCGTGATTACTGTATCACTAGATGTACTGTACAGTAGATAAAGCACAAGAAAATTCACACCGAACACAGGAACCGCCTTTCTGTCAGCCCATTAGAGACGCATCACGATCCGTAAAAGTTTTAGTGGGTCTGTTTTGTTTTGTTGTGTAACGAATTTTCGGTCCAGTTGCAGCTAGGTTTCTCTCAACCGAATCGTTGTCTGAATTGTTGGAGTTGAAAGCGTCTCGACCCGTGCAAGTTTTAGCAGGAACGGTCTATAGTTTCAAGGTTTTGGACAAGTCGAAAAAAAGTTAACAGACTCCTTCGACGTCTGAGCTGCGTTGAGGCGTTCGAGTTCAAAGGTTCCACTGTACCTGTCTTTATTCCCCTTTATCCTTTGTATACATCAGCACTCAGTGCTGAGACATAGATGACAAAGATGCAGTTGTGTGATATTTGCACAAACTAATTTGATCCTAGGAAGAGTTTTGGGAAACATGAAGAACTCTAACCATGTAGTTATAGTGCATTATAAAATGTAATAATGCTATCAGAATGAATAGAATCCTAGATTGGCAAGAAGAGAAAACTTTATTTATAAAATATAAAGCTTGTTAAGTAACTCACTTTTTGGAAATTCTTACACTTTGAATGGTGTGTGTGCCCTGCAATGGGTTGGTGCCCCATCCTGGGTTATTGCTTGCCTCGTGCATGTTCTGCAATGATGACAAAAATTGCTAGTGTTTATTAATAAAAACATATTGTAGCCAGGTCAATGTGGTGTCTTATACTTTTAAATAATTCAGCTAAGCACGTCTATAAAAACAAGAGCTTTGCCTTTATTAGTAGCACGCAGTTAGAGATAAATAGCAGTGGCATAGACAAGGAAAATTGACATTTTACACAATAATCACATTCAGGGCAACCGCTATGTGACCTGCGACCACATGCACACCAAGGTAGAAACATTATATTTACAGCACAACACAACAATACTTAATATATACGACATAAATATGCCTTCGTATACATTCATTTACAAGTTATTTACACTGACAGTCAGCACAAGGCATGCTGGTATGTGAATAATGTAAGTCTGTATTGCCCAGCCCAGCATCACCTTGTCCCCACCTGAGGGGTCGGCCATCCCTGGCGACCCCCAGATCAAACACAAAGTCTTGCGAATTGCTGTGCAGGTTAACACTGCTGTCATGGCCGCCATGTCATAGTCGCCGGCATACCTTTGTCTCCCACTGCATCCTCATCCTAAGGGGGTCAGACCAGGCAATCCCGATACAGAACCACAGCATTTTGTTGCTTTAGCGGGTGCAGGTGGTAGACAACATCGGAGTGGCATCTAAGATTCTCCCCCAACCTTCTACAGTGACTGTCCAGCTTGGGCGACCATATACATACATACAACATCAGGTCTCCGATGTTAAAGCTCTGCCTGCAGTTGCGTGCATCGTAGGTGTAGGTTTGTCAGGCAGTTGCTGCGCTCTGGTGTTGCTGAGGCAGGTTCACCCCTCAGATTCCCTCTGGAGGCACCACAGGTACTTCTTGCCCGGCTTTTTTGGTACCTCCAGCTCTTGTGGCGGTTCAAACACAAAGTCCACTGGTGTGCACACCTCCCACCCAAATATTGGTGCAACCAGCATGCACTGAGTGCTCCCCTTCACTGCCACTCAGTAAGCCCACAGGACCAGGGGCAGGTGGCAGTGCCAATTGCACTGTTGCTGGTCGACCAGGATGGCATGCTGAGCAGCGAGCATCACATAAGACTGCTCCACTAGCCCATCACTTTGAGGGTGTAGTGGGGTGTTGCTGTTTGGCAAATCCATATCTTGGTGTGTGTGATGTGCAGAATTGCATCCAGTTCATCCCTGCCTTGACTTGTATGCTTGCTGGGATAGACTTTCAGCTCCCTACTGGACTGTGTGTTGGATAAACAGTTGGAAGATGATGACAAATGGATAGTTGAACTGCAATTTAGAAAAAGGTATATTCAAAAAATTGACACAATGTATCTGTTTGGCAGTTTTAATTGTCAGGAGCTGGATTTCATTTAAATCACTGAGTTCTTGCTGTGTGCTGTTTGGTCCGTCTGCTATAACCATGCATGTGTCACTAATGTTAATGTGAAACAACTGAATGAGTCTTTCAATCAAAGGAACAAATCAGCAAAAGCACAAGAAAAACTAAATTATTTAACCAAGCATAGGAGCCTTTCACTTTTAAAGTACTTTGAAAAACCTGAAGTAGCTCACAGTGCCCCTCCTCTACACGGATTATCTGGTCACCCAATAAATTAAGTAACGATAAACAAAAATTCAACAGACAGGAGAACCAAAACTTTCACATGGTCTCATTGCATGCGAGGCTTTTGGGCACAAAAATTTAAAGTGTGGTCCAGTTTGCGGAATATAGTCCAAAACAGAAGAGACTGATTTGTACTGAACGTTATTAGCAAGAAACAGGTGGAAAAAATAAATACAGATTAATGCAGTCACTTGCCTCTCCCTCTGAGGTGGACATCATCCTGACCTTGCTTCTTGCGTCTAGGTAAACAATGCCATCTGCTACCAAATGTGGAAGGGCAAAGGTTAAAGGCACATCACATGTGGTCAGCATTTAATGCAAAAGTTGTTCATTGGTTATACAGTGTTCTGTCACATTGGTGAAGTATCTCAGCAAGCATGGCTGCCACCCAGGAGTTTGAGCTCATACCTATTAGTGCAGCAGATGCTCAGCAGCTCTCTATTAATCCATGGCGCCCA